ACATTTTGCTGTTATGTTTAAACTTATATTAAAGTTTTTCTTCATTACCCATTCAAGCCATCTCCAACCATTATTAGACTCAAACAATCAATATATTTTACGTACACAATGTAAAAACTTTAACCTGAGACCATTAATGGTCTCAACACAGATTGGATGTTGAAACATATAGTGTCAGTTTTGAGACTGTTGACAGTCTCAGAATCAAGTTTTTAAATTGTGTACATAAAATAAATTGATTGTTTTAATTATTTAAACATATTGGCTAAAGAAACTAAGCCTAGTTTCAAATTCATCTCTTATGAGCTATCAATTTAATATATCATAAATTCCAAGCAGCTGGTAATAATAATAATAATGTTTACTGCTTAAGTCTCAATTTGGGATTAATGAATTCTGAAAGCCACAAAGAAAACCAGATCCCTTATCCTTCAAATTTCTGATTCAGCATGCCAGTGTGCTGCAACAAAAAGAAACTAAACCAAAGATTTACTGATTCAAATAACACTCACCTTATTTTCATTATTTTCTCTAGGTAATTGAAAAGCAAAAACTAAACCCTCCTTCGTTCCAGCAGCAACCATGTAATCAACCGAGGCAATGATTTTAACACAAGTGACAGGAATGATGTTTCCCTGTAACTAGACATTTTTCAATAACAGGACTATAAAATTATGAGAACAAATTCTAAAGCAATCACACCTAACTACAGCATTCAAAGCAGAAATCTAATTTATATATCTTTCATAGGTTTGCTCTGAATGAAAGCTACCTATTACATGAGCAGTATGCTTTAGAATAAGCACTGTAAATAAAACACTACAGTAAAGTATATTTTACTCCATATATCAGTTGATAACATTCTATTGTGTAATTAAATACACACACACAAACTTATAGTCTAAAATAACAAAATATTTTCATTACAGGACACTGACTTCATATTTAGTAAAAGAGCATGGTATTACAGTGGTGCATATAAGGAAAACAATGTCATCTATTATTTAGGTTAACCCTTTTCAGACAGGTCAAAGGCCATGTATGTCATTGTGTTTGTTGGCTCACATTCTAAATTTTATTGAACTACTATTTTATGAATTTATTTCAATAATTTTGGTATCAAACTGTAGATTATAATTCAAATTTTAGTTTTATACCTTATCTAATTTCTTAATTTAAAAGTAAAAATTAAAAACACAATTAAACATTGATTTTTGAGTGTCACGTGGTATGTTGAATGCAGCACTGGTTCAAATTAGATATTTGTGATGTCAAAATACAAAGTCTATAGTTTGATACAAACTAAGAACCCAATCTACCGACATTGATAAGTTAGAATATAAAATGAGAACCTCTTATCTTTTCTATTTGCTAAGATATCGCTCATGTACTGAATCAAACACAGTAGCCCCCGCCCACCTCTTTCCATTTGTGGAAACACTCCCTTATATACACTTACTTCAATATATGACATGTGAATAACCAATCAAAAGCTCAGAATGTCCCCCTAGTGGCTTTCTTAGCCATTTTCATGTGTTGGGGTGCCATCTCATTCTTTCGAACCAAGATTTCAATGAGGTAGGTTGTGTCTTTAGTCTGCTC